TATCTCTAAACTTCTCCATCAAACCTCTCAATAAATGCATAGCTTCCATAGTAGACCTGCCTGACATAAATTCAAATTGATTATGAGAAATCTTTGTAAAGCGTCTTAACCTATGTTCAATTACCCTCTCCCATAATTCTAAAGTATGACACATCAGCTTAATTCCTCTATAATTTGCACATTCTTGTGCATCTCCTTTATTCTTAAAAATGGGGACCAAAATACTTTTCCTCCACTCCTCAAGCATCCTTTTAGTTTTTAAAATAATATTAAAGAGTTTAGTAAGCCAAGAAACTCCCAAATATCCTAAAAATTTTCACACTTCAATTGGGATATCATCAGGTCCTACAGACTTTCCACCATTGGTTTTCTTTAAAACCTCGTCAACTTCTTTTTTACTAATGCGACGGTAAAAATGAAATGTTTTATTATTATTCATGATATTAAGATCACTAAGGTCGATCGTATTTTTCAGAAACTTCATTAAGAGTTTATCAAAATAACTCACCCGCATATGTTGAATATCTTTTTCTAAGAAAAGTACTTTTTGATTTTCATTTTTAATACACTTTACTTGAGTTAAATCTTTACTTTTCCTCTCTCTTTGTTTGGCTAGTTTATACATATATTTTTCGCCCTCCTTAGTATCTAATCTATTATAAAGATCGTTAAAAGCAAAATTTTTAGCTTCACAAATTGTTCTTTTAGACTCCTTATGGGCCGTTTGATATTTTTCCCAATTCTCTAAGCTTCCAATTATCTAAGCTTTTACATTTAAATCAATTTTTATAACATAACTTGTTATATTTTATCTTTTCTTCCACATTATTATTTCACCACCAACTATCTATTTTTATTTACACCACCAAATTTTTTTTATTTACAGAAGCTTTTTATTTTGATTCTCCCCACATCTTTTGCTACTTGTTTAATAATATTTGTTATTTTATCCCACATAATATTTATTTCTTCATGAACATCCAAAATTTTGAAATCTTGAATTTTACTCATAAAAATAATTTTATTTATGTCCTTTAGGTTTACTCATCTAATTCTACGATAACGACTCATAGTATTCTTTATTTTATAACTCTTTATCTTAAGATCTATAACTAATAAATGATCTTGGGTATTTAAATTCTCAGTTTGAATGACCTTACAATCTTTACAATCTCAACGATCTCTTATTCTCATAAGAAAATAATCAATCTGTGTTTTATTAGATCCACTCCTCTTATAAGTAATAAGCTCATCT